CCTGGTGTCACCACATCTGCTCACTCCCGCCTGGTGTCACCACATCTGCTTACTCCCGCCTGGTGTCACCACATCTGCTCACTCCCGCCTGGTGTTACCACATCTGCCCACTCCCGCCTGGTGTTACCACATCTGCTCATTCCTGCCTGGTGTTACTAGCTATAAAAACACCGGACTCACTTTACAATGGTGGGAAAGGCAGGAATATGAAAGTAAGGCATTGAAAATTGCCAGACATGATGGCTTGTGTCTCTAATCCCAGCAATCAGGAGGCTGAGAAAGGACATAAAAACCATGAGTTCAAGGCCAGCCTGGGCTAGAAGGAGAACCTGTCACAAACAAATGAACAACAAAACTCCCAACCCCAGTTTAAAGGTCCTAGCCCTTTAGCATTTCCCTCCCATGAAAGTACTGGTTGGATATGAATGTGAGCATTCAAAGTGGTCAGGTATGAATCTGTATATCCCACACAATATGCAGAACCCTATGCTCATGGTGCTTTTTAAAAAAACCTTATTTCCCAATAAGCCCAATGACGGAAATAAACATGTGAACGTGGGTAGATTAATTTTCCCTCAAAGAACTGGGGTTGGGCTCAGCATCTTTGTGTGCTAGAAATCACTCTTTATCCTTTTTTATTTTTATTTTATTTTATTTTTATATAGGCTAGTCTAGAAATTGTAATCCCCCTGCCTCACCCTCCCAAGTAGCTGGAATTATAGGTGTCCATCACCAAGCCTGGTGTAAATATGAACACTTTAAAGATGACCAATAGCTTAATGACTCAGAAGGAGCAATAGCATGCCTTCCAGGACTTTGTGGAAATACTTATAAGAGTGTACCAAGCTGGATGGTGACATTACCAGTAAGAAAGGAGTGATGATCCTGACCTCGGCTGCTCTCCATACTGTCCCTAACTAAACCCTTTCTGCTGAATTAGCTTTAAACCTGTACTTTCTTGGCTTGTTCTCAAGGGTAACTAGAGACCGCTGCTTCCTGCTGAGACTCTGGCTAGCCTCTGTGACAGATGCCCCTTGTCCTTCCTAAACACAGCCAAAGTCAAGTTGTTTCCCTTGCCCAAGACTTCAGTGGCCCACAGGACTTTCCACACATCTTTTGATGTCTTTATCCCAGACAGGAAGCCAACCTCTCCACAAAGACATCTCTGGGGAGGCTTCACAGTCCCAGGAGGTGGCTAGAGACAGCCTCACTCGACACAAGCAACAGACTATTTATAAACACCAGACCCAACGGAGCCCCATATTGGAGTGCTGATTCATGGCCAGTGACTGACTGGTCTTCGCTGTAAGTAAGGAGAGAGAAAACAGTTTACATTGCCCATTTCTGAATCTCTTAGGCTCTTCACCAAGAGAAAATTTTTCTTCTGTAAGAGAATCTCCATGTACCAAGGGTCTTTTCAGTAATGTGAGTGTGGAGAAGAAAGGAAATCGATTTTAGTGATGTGTGAATCTAAGATGGGAAATGATAACTAATGAAGTCTTGAAGCCATCCCATCCCCTAGGACCTGGCCTTCAATTTGTAATAATAGATTTTGCCTTGGTAATAGGAAAATAATGAGACCACACACTTCAGGCCTGTAAGATCTTCAGAATAAGGGAGATTGTCCCCTTTCATGCTTACAGTAACACGGATGGATCTGAAAAACATAATGCTTGGTTCAAAACAAAAAGAAGCTATAATGCAATAGCAATTGTAAGATTAAAAGGCATGCATACCATGATGGTTTGGATGAGAATGACCCCGCACTCTCATATATTTTGAATGTTTGGTCCCTAGTTGGTGACACTGTTTTGACAAGAAATAGGAGGATGGCCTTGTTGGGGGAGGAGTGTCATTGGGGGTAGGCTTTGAAGTTTCAAAAGCCCACATCAGACCCAGTCTCTCTCTCTCTTTCTCTGTCTCTGTGTCTCTCTGTCTCCTTTCTGTCTCTTTCTCTCTGCCTGTCTCTGTCTCTCTCTCCCCCTGCTTCCAACTTACAGACAAGATGTAGGCTCTCAGCTACTACTGTAGCGCCATACCTGCCTATGCTCCCCACAATGATCGTCATGGACTCAACCTCTGAATCTGTAAGCAAGCCCCCAGTTCAATGCTGTCTTTTATAAGTTGTTTTAGTCATGGTGTGTCTTCATAGCAATAGAAAAGTAACTAAGACACATACATTAAAAAACAATACATGAGCTGGGCGGTGGTGGCACACACCTGTAATCCCAGCACTCGGGGTGCAGAGGCAGGCGGATCTCTGTGAGTTTGAGGCCAGCCTGGTCTACAGAGCTAGTCCAGGACAGACTCCAAAGCTACAGAGAAACCCTGTCTCAAAAAATCAAAAAAACCAACCAAACAAACAAAAAAACCTAATACATATTTTATGTGAATGGACACACAGAGACCATCCAACATGTTAGAACTCTTATCTTGGGGAAAGGGGGACAAGAGGAAATAATAGTTTATAAGAGGGGCCTTGCACACAACAATGAGAACAGTGTACCGGAAGCTGAGTGGTTAATACCCCAGCCTGTTAGCCACAGCTGAAGGAACCTTTCTTCTCCTCAGGGTCCCCCATGATGGCTGCTCTGAGAGCCCAGGTGTGCAGGTGACACCTTCATAAGACTTTCTGAAGCACCATCAGCATTTCTGAAGGCTGTCCAGGCTTCCACCAAGAAATCTTATTAAATAATAGCAATAGTGCTCACTTCCATTGCTGGCAACTGACTTGTCTTGTTGCTAATCTTTAAGAAGGAATTGACTGAGGAAGAACACACACAATAACTGAGCAACTGTGGTAAAAGTCTACCTCACCAAACTGTGAGGTGAGTTCTCTGAAGTGCCAGGAGGTGTTTGAGAGACACCAGGAAGGAGGCCATTCTCTAGGGAAAGAATGGAACATCGGGAGGGAACTTTCAGTGTGTCACTGAGCCAACCTCTGGCCCCTAGGAGTGTTAGGATTGGTTCTGCATCCCTGCGAGCCAGCTGACTTACCTCGATTGTTTTGCAGGTGTCCTCCAGCTGGCTGATCACTCCCTGGACCCGGTCGTTGCTTCCCACAAGTATGGCAATGCCGTCACTGAGTTCTGACTAATGAAGAGAAAACAGGACTCAGGATGTCAGGGTTTCCTAGCCACGGATTATCATGAACTGGTCACATCACTATCCTCCGGGGTATGGGGGGATTTAATCCCTAAGGAGTAAACTAGCCCACGGATTTCTCCTGAGACATGTTCTTACTGGGGGTGAAGAAGAGGAGGCTGCTGGTGAGCTCCATCTCCCGTTTAGGCTGGTGGGGTTGCTCAGTGATGCCACTCTGGCCTCTGGCCCCAGAAAGCAAGTCTGAGGGTGGAGGTGGCCAAGGAAAGCCAGAATGTTCTGTCATTGTTAATTTAGGTGTGAGTTAAGTCACTGTAAGAGGTAGGTGTGGGTGTAGCCTCCTTATATAAAACCCAGGAAATGTGATTTATCCCATCTAAAGGCTGAGGTGGCGGCTAGTCATGGGAAACCATGGAGCCTCCTGATATTGTGAGCAAACTTTGGCTTTGTGTGGGACAAGGTTCCATAGTTTTCATCACATTATTGCTGAAGACCTGGATTCTGTTGAAAACATGAAGAACATCTTGTTATAAGCCATCAATAATAGTACATTAAAGCTGGAGAATTCTAAACATTGTTCATAAGTGGAGCAATGTGACAGACTCGGAGATGTGACATTGGGAGCTCAAAATGAATTGTCTAGTGCAGCTCAGGACTAATTTTACTTGAGCAATAAATGCGGTAAATATTTATCTATTGGGCATATGTATATTTCAATCCTATTATGCTAATGTAGTGCAGATACATACAAATGTTCACCAGACTGTCCCACAAACTTGAAACTGTCACATGAGGCTGGCTTTAGCGGAGCTATCACAACCTTAAAATTCCTGTGTTCTTTTAGCCCAAGAAGTAATGTTCCCTTCCTATTTACCCTCCTCCCAAATTGGACAGGGGGCCACAAGGAATGCTGAATGGAGACTTGGGAAATCTAGTTCTAATCTCCCTTTGGCCTGAACTTCTCCAGGTTATTGAGCAACACGTGTAACCAATTTGAATCTGAATTTTCTCATATTTAAAAGAAGAGGTCCAGTCCAAAACCCAGTAAAACTGGTTGTAAAGCATTTGAAAACTGGAGTTGAATCTACATGAGTTTGAGGTAGCCTGGTCTACAAAATGAGTTCCAGAATAACCGGGGCTACACAGAGAAATCTTGTCTTGAAACAACAACAATCAAAAACAAAACAAAACAAAAAACAAAAAAACGTGCAGTCATCAATACATGTGGACGTTACTATGGAAACCTATTAGTAAATGTGAAGGGACTCTGACTGAAAAGGAAAGGCATGGGACTCCTACTCCCCATCCCTCTGCCCATCCCATGAATTTCCAGGCCTCTGAGGAAAGGTGTCAAAAGCGGATACCATGCAGTTCTATACCGTGCTAGGCCTTGGGGACAAGGAGAGGAGGAATCAAAGTTAGTAAAAAAGTAAGCTGAAAATAAGTAATAGTAACACATGCAAATCATTGTTATTGATTATGACAGGTGTTACAAAAGTCTGGCTTCCAAATTGATTTCAACTCTGGTCCCTGAGGTAAAATTGGAATCAATGGTTGTAAGTGGAAGACGCAACGATGAGGTTGATGTCCCGACATGTACCCCCTTTTCATTTTCATGAATTCTGGGCTGCTGCAGCAGGATGCAGGGCCGATGAGCTGGGGAGGACCACTGAGTCAGAATGGGGAGGCCCAGATTCACTCCCTGGGGAGAGGGACATGGACTACATTCAAGGGTGCCTTTTGGCATCTGGCCTAGGCGACTTGAAGGCCAGACTTCAAGGTGTTCTGTAGCTGGGTGCCATGGTTGACTCTCCCCCGGGTAAGGAAAGTGGGGGAGAGCAGGGGAACATTTTACTGATGAGCAATAAAAATTATTCTAGGACTGGAAGGGGAAGTGAAGACCATCTAATTCCTGTCTGCGTTGAACTCTGAGTCATCTTTAGCAGCTGGCCCTTGACCAGCCCCCTTAACACTAGATATCTTCAGCAACCTCCAAAGGTCACAGAAAGTGACCTAGGCCTTCTGCGCCGTTTTCTGAACCTTAGCATTCTCCCTCTCTGGCCAACTCCACAACCTTGGACAGAGTCAACTTGAGAACAACTGCAAGACGGTGGGGCCTCCCACATACAGCCTTCCTTTTGCTGGGCTCCCCCTTTTGGCCACAGGAAGCTGCTTCGATAGTGCTTAGAAGGGGCTGAGGAGGAGGGGGATTGAAGTTCCTACCTTCTGCCTCTGGAACACATGGGTCAGGGGAGCCACCTGGCAGTCCTTGTGGGCGCCAAACACTTTGCACAAAGAGCAGGTGGGCACCTCGCAGTTCAGACAGTAGATGTTAATGCGTTCATCTTCATGCTCTTCACACATGGGCTGGTCGGACTTTTTTTCTGGCCTGGGAGGAGGTAGGAAGATACATACGTATCAACAACTACCCGGAGCTTTTCATGTTCAATTTAGTGCTGACAAATCTCTGTCTGCCTGAGCTGAGACTCAGAACCACAGACACTCATTCGCCAGTTAGCATTTGTCAAATTTTATGGTGTGTTCCCATCAGTTCAAGATTTAAAAACTGATGTGTGAAATTCCTGAAAGTTCGGCCCTGGACTCTCGCCAACCATTTGGAACTCATTCCAGCTCTGTGCCCACAGACAAGCTCACAGGTTTCTGGAAACCTTACTATGGATGGAGAGGAAGTTGCGAGTGAGCTCCATCTCCAGTTCAGTTAGGCTGGTGGGATTGCTCAGTGCCGCCCTCCAGCCTCTGGCACCCAGAAAACCTTTCCTACCTACAAGTCTGATAACTGAAGCACCAAGGAGATAGAGAATCAGTTTGCTATAAGTGTTGCCTCCTTATATAAAACCCAGAAAATTGGATGTATCCCACATAAAGACTGAGCCTGGGAGCAGCGAGATGGGTCAGTGGGTACCGGCACTTGCTACCCTCCCTCCATCCAGGACTGCACGGTGGAAGGACAGAACTGGCTGCTGTGAATTGTCTTCTCCATGAGCACACCCCGCCCCGCCCCCCCCCATAAATAAATACATGTAACATTTTAAAAGTTAAGACTCAGACTGTTAGAAAGGTTTGAAAATACATCCAAATTCACAAGTTTCCCGTAGTCCCAAATGTAGTTATTTAGAAACGTCTCACTTCAGCCACTACTTTTTTTTTTCAGTTGCTGATGAGATCTCCTTCTTAAAAAGCACAGGGTTGTATGGACAAGGAACCCATTTAGCAAGTAAGAGACGGTGTTTCTAAAATAAAAATGAAATAGAGCAGCCAAACCGTGAATTACCTGTGGTAGGAATTGCAAGAATTAAACGTGAAAGTGTTGTTTCAGGTATTTGTGTGGATTTCATATGTACACTGTGTGATGTAAACATGCATATGCAAAACCAAAATATGTATTTTATATCATTCAGATGTGTAAAGATGTAGTGTGATGTAAAACACACTCTCTCCTGGGAGTCATGCGTCCAAGGGTTTAGAAACCCTGGACTTGGTGTGTGGGATTATGCAGCTGCAGTACCAGATCCAGAGGGCAGGGGGCGTGGTGATAGATCTCTATGGTACTGGGTAGAAGTCCTGTACTTGACACTGGCAGAAATAAATACCGGGAAAGCTCTCGTAAGGAAGTTTCATGAGCTTCCGGGTCCAAGATTTTGGAATCTGGTGTTTGCAAGAGGAATCTCTGTCTGGTCCTGAAGCTGTATGCGTTCATGAAATCTACGCCTCCTGATTCCCGGTTTATTTGAGACTCAAGAGAGGAAGTGTGGCCGTGAATGGGAAGATCGTTTCCCCTTCCCAGGCCTGTCTCCTCCTCCACCAGAAGGTGAGCCAACGTCTGTGGTTTTCTTTGCTGTATACCCTGTGCCTAGAGCAGTGCTCCCCACAGACAGGAGTGCTGCTGAAATGTTTGTTGAATGAATGGATGATAAAATCAAAATGAAAATGGAAGTGGATAAATCCAGGATCGGTTGGGACTTTGGGGCTATCTGGAGAGTAGGAGTCACAAGGTGGCCCCTGCCTGCTCCAAGCCATCTGCACATTATGTTAACTTGGGCTTTGCTGGAGTCTGGAGGTTAGCCACTGGAAAAAACACAGCACAGGCATGCTAATGTAGCTTATCTTCCCTACACATGTCCCAAGGGCACCACCGCCCGCCTGGGCGGCTGTGATGGCTGCAGATACAAGCAGAGACAGTGTCAGCAAGCTCACGCGATACAGGAGACACAGATGTTGAACATGTGGAAACAGCCAGAATTTTGTATTTTATTTTTGTGATTCCACTTACTCATTTTTTTCCACAATACCCTTTATTTATTAGTAGTTTTTGTTGTTGTTTTGTTTTTTGCTTTGTTTAGGAGCAGCATGGGCCTAGAGGCACCAATCTCTTTTAGTAAGTACATGAGAAGAACCCGTGGACAACTTACACCGCATAACAGACCTGAAACAAGTTGGGCATAGAGAATGAGGATGCAAACCCTTTCTAGCAGGTAGGTGAGGGTGGCTGGTCACACAGTTGCTGTTCAAGGCTCAGAGCTGCGTGCTGGAAGTGGCCTCTCACTGTTCAGGACTGTGGGCACCTGTAGCTTGTTCTCTCTGGTCCCCTGGGTTGCTGGGGCTACCATAGTGTTTACTGAGGAGTGAGCATTAAGTCCTGGTGAGGAAGTTCAGTTAGTCCTGCTGTCGTTAAAGGGATCTGAAGCTTAATTCCAGCTCAACTTCTGCAAGTGTTGATGTGTGGCCTTAAATACATTACTAAACCTTTGACGTCAGTTTTCACTGACCTAGGAATAATGAAATGGGGCAGAATGAGCAGAGGCAGTTATTTATGTTTCCTCTTGAAGAGATCAAGGAGGTAAAATTTTATAAAAATAATAAACACAAAAGGTAAGATGGCAACAAATAGGAGCGGTCTACCAAAGGCTGAAAGTTGGAAACCTCTTGACAAAAGCGAAGTGACCTCCTTCCGCTGCATTACTGCTGGTGGCCTGCTGCGCAGAAGCCTACAAGAAGCTCAGAGTCCTAGGAAGTTTCTAGAACTGCAGGCAAAATCTTTAGCAGAAGCTCCATGAAATATTGTGAAGGCAGGCTATAAAGGGAAGGACTCAGTGGACATTTTAAGAGATTATATATGGAGATGTGGTCCATAGAAGCAACACCATAAGCCAACAGATAAAACACAGCTCCAAGGGGGAAGGAATTCCCAAGTTGAGAGCAGAATTCAGCACTGGGAGGGTTCACCCCACCCCTAACACTGAAAAACAAAAGCAGGAGATAGAAATATAGCAGCAACACACATGGCTGGGAGAATTGGCTCAGTGGTTAAAAGCACACGATGCTCCTGCAGAGGACCAGAGTTTGGTTCCCAGCACCCACGTGGTCGCTCATAACCATGTTAGGAACTCCAGTTCTAGGGGATTGGACACCCTCTTCTGACCTCCACAGGCATCAGGCACATCCATGCATGCAGGCAGAACACACATACACATAAAATAAAGTAAATAAATCTAAAAATTGTGTTAAAAAACAAACCAGTAACACAAATACCATTGGTGATGAACAGCAGGAAGCAGCTAGGAGAATTGAAAGTTATTGCACTTGGGGAGTGACAGGAGTGTGAGACAGAAAGGTGGGAGCACCCTTCTCACTGGAGGCCTCGTAGTCCTGCTTAGGACTCTTTAAAATGAAAGTATTCATGTATTTCATTCCCATTGCAGCACTTGATCAGGGCTGGGGAATGTCTTAGTCGGCAAAGTTCTTGCCACGCAAGCACAGGGACCTGGACTTGAGTGTGGTGGTGTGTGTGGCTGTGATCCTAACACGTGACACTAATGAGAACCCCTGGAGCTTGCCAGCCAGCGGTGCTCCTGTTTCAGAGACAGACCCTGTCTTTAAAAAATGAAGTGGAGTGCAACAGATCAGAACATCTGATCAACCACTGCCCTCCACACACATGTGCGCATACACCTGCCCACACACGAACACACATACATGCAAAGCTCACACACACACACACACACACACACACACACACACACACACACACAGATGCATAAGCATTCAAAAAATTTGATAGGGTGATAATAAAACCCACCTCAGAGGACTATTGGGAGCATCAAGGAATCACACTTGATTCACAGGTAAAGCTCCTGGGCACGTCTAGCACACAATACAATGCCATTTTGCTTATTAGATCAACAAATTAATCACTATGTTCAATAATAATATTAACCAAATTAGTGCCTTCTCTTGCCCAAGCCAAACTGTGGAGAGTGCATCAGCATGCAGAATGACAGATAAGGCCAGGGTTTGTCAAGACTCCAGCTGTTTTGTGAGAGGCCAGGGTTGAATGATACTTCAAAGTCTATCCCAGCAGCCTTTTCCCTCTCTGTGGACACAGCCAAAGACTAGAGCTGAGGTTAGCTTATTCTGCATACCTAAGGTATTTTAAGGTCATCTAATATATCCTGAGGTGTGGGGTTCAGGGCTGGTACGACTCCTCAACTTCAGGAACAGCTAGTTGGATATGACTAAGCCCTTCTAGGCAACTACCATGTAAAAATACCTCAAGTGACTTGAGTTTAAGAAACAATGTAAGAATTTCATAATCACAAAATCCCTATTATCCCTATTCCAGTCAGCTCTTGCTTTAGTAGTGGGTATTTGGCTCACTGTTTTTGTGCAATTTGTTCCCCATCCTCTGAAGAGGCACCAGGCTGACTTCATGGTTAAGGCAAGGCTATGTCTCTTAGTTGTACTAACACTACAAGTTTTAACATCTCCTGACCTCCAGGTTTCATAGTAAATGCTATTATGTTCATGTTTGAGGTTCCCACTAGGTGAGTGTTAAGAAGGAAAGACAACTGGAATAAACAGAACCCAGAAGACTGTTGGCGCTGTGTTTCTCTGTGCTGTGTTAAGAAGCCAGCATTGTGGAGCCCCTGTTCTGGAAGGCACTGTATATGACACTGAAACCACAGCCACATAAATGCCTTTTAATAATTGGTTGGTCATCAGCTGGCAGGGTAATCTCTTAAGGAGACAATGTGCAGTTGACTTTTTTTATTTTTGAGATTACAATTACATCATTTCTCCCCTCTCTTTCCTCCCTCCAAGACCTCTCCTCCACCCCTGCTTTCTCTCTTCCAAATTCACGACCTCTTTTTAAATTGTTATTAAGTGCCTATATGTATATACACGTATTTCTAAATAAAACCTGCTCAGTCTGTACAATGTGACCCTTGTTATGTTTTCAGGACTGACCATTTGGAATCAGATAACCAGCTGGTGTGCTCTTTGCTGGGGAAGACCATTTCCCCTATTCCCAACATTCCTTAGTTGCCTGTAGTTCTTTGTGGTCTGAAGCCTCGTGCTCTGTCCCCGTCCACTCTGCCATGTCTATTGTTGTCCTTGTTCAGCTCACACTTAGGCAGTCGCGTTGGTGGGGGGCAGTTATGGGGGCAGCTGACACAGTCTCACAGCAAACTCCCTGATCAGCTGGCTCTGAGTCTTTCAACCCCTTCTTCTGCAATGTCCCCTGAGCCCTGGGAGTGGGGACATTGTATAGATGTATCCATTGGGGTACACGATGCAATACAGTGCACTCAGGTCTGTGACTCTGGTAACACTGTCCTTCTTGGCAGTAGAGTTGGAAGCAAGGGAAACAGGTGGCTGCAATATGTCATCAGCAATTCTTCCTCAATTCCCTCTATAGCCTGGCGCTATCTAATTTAGCTCTGAATCTTGAGCAGAAACTAATGGGCATAATAATCACAATAATTACATGTTAGATTAATGGAACAACTTTCCTGCAAAGAGTGCAAGGCATTTACAGCCTTGCAGATGTTCCGTAAGCACATGCCCCTTGTAATAAGGATCACAATGGGTCCATTTCTACATGATCTCCATATGGATACCAAGATTTTGAACTCAAATGACCTGTGCAGAATGGAGACAGGGCTCTTCACACTGTGCCTTCTAGGAACAAACTCTGCAATTTCATCTCTAGGAAAGGAACTGCATAGCTTATGTGGTGTGATGATAATAAGAAGCCTTTAAAATGTTTTAATGAATGAATGCATATGACATACCTCAATCAGCAAATGGGTATTAAGAGGATGCAGTCATAGGGAAACAGCCTGAAATGCATTTCCTCTCCCATTTCTGTAAATGAAGTTTCTGAAAATCAGCATTGTATCTTGCCTTGAACGTGCCATAGGGTCAATATTAGGACAAGCAATAATGTCAGAGTGTTTTTAAATTATAAGGATTACTGTTGTTTAGACAATTTTAAGGCAAGACAACTGGGAATTTGGGGTATTTTGGACAGTGATGTTTCTTACCTTATGTACATGATTGCACTAGAGTTTTTCTATAACATAGGATCTGGACTTACAAAGAACCGACATGTGTCAACACGTCTAAACTGAATGGAATACAAGGCTGTGGGGTGGCATCACACCTCTTTCAGCATAACTACCTTTGATGGCACAGAAGCATGCATACTGCTCCCTTCCTCCCTCATGAGTAACTCTGTCTCATTGGGAAGGACTGACGTGGAAAGCCTTTTAAGGAACAATTAACCAGTGACCAGTAACAAACATGTAGCGCCTCGACCCATTAAGCTGAAAACAAATAGACGAAGCCTCCAGTAGGTCTGGCTCTGAGAGCAGCTCTTACCTCGTGGATTCCTGCTTGTAGATGTCGATGATGTTTTCCACGAGCAGGTTCCTCTGAAGTCCATAAACCCCGTGTCTGTCTAACACCACCTCGTGTCTGCAGGAGGGACAGCGGAATCGACCCCCTGATGCCACAGTGGTGCCTCCTCTTGTGGGTAAGTACGGGTTAGAGGCCTGTTCTTGCCCAGCAAGAAAAAAAAAAGGAACTGAGTAATGCCACGGGGAGTTTTTTGGAGATTATTTTCACTCTCTGACACCATGCACAAGACGGACTCCTCAGGGCTTCCCGCAAGTGGTCCTGGAACATGGGGCCTCCCCTGATCCACAGCCAGACCTACAGTACACCCTCCTCAGCAAGAAGTGGTTTTCTATCCGCTGTTTTCATAACTCAGAGTTTCAACCAGGAGCTCCAACGCCCATACCCTGGCCAGTAGCTCATTTTCAACTTTTAAACAGATTCAGCGCATCTGTTTTGTTTCACTAAGGACAAACAGGTTCTTAGAATTAAAACACAACTGGATGTGGAAGTGAGGAGGAAGTTGACAGGCAAACCCAGGGAAATGACTCAAGCCCACTGAAAACAGCCTCCGAGAGCTCGCTAAGGGAACCGGCTTTGGTTCCAAACACTTGATGCAGGATGGAGGGACACTCCACACCCTCCAAATTCCAAACAAACCTACCTGGAAGATGTCACTGGCACATTTCCTGCACAGGTTGTGCTGGCAGGGGAGAATGACCACGGGCTTCGTGAACATCTCCAGGCAGATGGGACAGATCAACTGTTTCTCCAAGTTATCCATGGTCTGCTGCTCTTTGGAGAAAGACTTGTAATTCAGAGAAGCGCTCATTTCCTGGCCGCCCCTGACTGTGCCGCCAGGACTCCCAAATGGCTTCTGCAAGTGTTTCCTGGAAATAATTCCAAGGACTGTGCGATTAAGTGTCCTTTATGTTTCTCTCTACGGAGGACATTGCTTCAGGCCCTGGTTCAGAGTGGGTGATGGAGCTGTTTTTAGAAACTCAGGGTCACGTGACCCTGGACTGACTTGTCCATATAAGCCAGTGACAGGAGGATGGATTCTGACAGGTGACAGAGAGCAGGAGTCCACATTCTTGCCCTGGGGAGTAAGAGAGTGGGTGGGAAGGGGATTACAAGTCCCATTTAGCAGGGGTTATGAAGGGAGGGCATCTACAGCCCACAGTTGTCAACAACAAATGCAAATGTGCATGCCTGGTCTCTGAGCCTTGCCCTCCGTGGCTGAGCGCTTGGAAAAGAACCCGGTGACAGGCTGCTTCAGAATGCAGCCCTACAGTGTAACTGTATAAGAAACATTGTTGCTTCGGACTTCGGGAAACAAGCCACCCGAAGTAACAGGATGGCAACTTCTTAGGTGGAAGCGGGCAGAACTCCATCCTGATCTCACAGGGCAGTAGTGTTAAAAAAAAAAAAAAAAAAAAAAAAAGCCATTCTTGATATTAAATTTTTCATCTTTGCCAAGATTTCGGTGTAGGGGAAATTCCAGTTTAAAAGCTGAATTTAAGACCCTATCACCACAAAAGTATCTACAAAATCTTTTTCTTTTTGTGCATGTCTATGTGTATGCATGCATGTTCAGGTGTGGGGGGGTGAACGTGTTGTGCATATGCATGTGTGGGGAGGCATGTGGCTGGCTTCCTCCATCACTCTCCATCTTATTTGTAGAGACAGACTATCAATTGAAGCCAAAGTTGGCTGACAGGACTAGTCTGGCAAGCCATCTTGCTCGGGGGATTCCTCTATTTTCCATGGAACCACGGGTGGGCAGCCACATCCAGCAGACCCTTGTGCAGCAAGTATTCTATCCACTAAGCTATTTCCCCAGATAACCAAACTGTTGAGTATGCTGCTCTCCTTCCCACTCTTATCCTGTACCTCTCACCCCACATACAGCGCAAAACACAAAGAAAACTTGTGGCAGTCTTTAAAAAGTTTAGCTTGGTTTACAACAGTAATCCTCAATGGGATAGCAGCTGGCATGTGGATCGCATGCTATAATTGCATTCCGCCATGTGCTGGAGGAAGATGTCAGTGCCTTCTGTAGCTGGAGTGATGATAGAGTACGATATACTGCCCAGTCTGCTCCTAAAATGCCTGTGTATTTTGCCCTTCATCCAAGGCCCTTTTTTTAAAATGATAGTATCCCTAATAATTTCTGATATTCTTGGTCTGCTCTTGCATAATAAACACTGATTCTGACATTTGCCAGGGATTTGTAAAAATTGTAATTGATTTGTATTGCACATAAAACTTTAAATCACATAGAAAGCAAAAGAAATCCATGTCATTTTTTAAGTGATGAATTTTTGTTTATTTCTCTATGATTTCAAAAATCCCAGAAAGAACACAAAAATCCACAGTGTGCCCCAGTTACAATAAAGGGCAGGTCCTTGGGATTGGTTGTGTGCAGTCTTGTTCTATATGTATACACAGCTTAATTGCAATTTGTAAGCTTGGTGATCTAATAAAAAATTACACAACTACATAAACATCAGGGAGTGGGAATCTTGAAGGATTCTCTCAAAACTTTCAGTACTTGTTTAGCGACTGCATCAAAGGAGAGAGTTCATGCCATTTTCCTGTCAGTTCACGTCAGCAGTTAGAGTCTGTTCATCATTACCTTAGCAATAGAGCTCTGAGCTCAGCATATGAGATGATTTCCAGGGGAGTTTCTACTGCAGAAGTAAACGACCTTGCTATCTAAAGAAAAGCACTTATTAGTCAGGATCAGTAGAATTATATATATATATATATATATATATATATATATATATATATATGATTGGAACACATGACCAAACACTGTATAGTCCCACAGTGGCCTCTGAAGACTAGAGATCTGCAGAAACCAATAACTTCTTAATTCAAGAAGCTGCAAGTCTCAGAACAAGAGAGTGGTGATAGAGCCTTAGTCCGAGGCAGGAGGCCAGGAAGCCCCTGAAGAATTATTGACAGGAGTCCATGTTGAAAGGCATGTCTGATGTCCGGGGATGACAGCAGCAGCAAACACCGAATCACCTGAAAAGAACCCAGTGTGCACACAAATATGGATGCCCCCCCTTCCTCTTCTTATTCCTAGGTTCCAGTTGCCCACATTCAGAGTGGGTCTTACCTAATCAGTTTGAAGACGGACAAACGAATTGACTCTAGAGATAGCCTCACGACCACACCCAGAAGGTCCTCTGCAAATTTGCTAGGTGTCTTTAATCAAGTTAACAACAAAGATTAACCACTACAGTCTTTAACTAATAACATAGTCATGACTCATTTGTCACCAGGGCTCCATCCCGAGAACTGCATCCTTAGGCAACTCCAGCACTGTGTGGCCATCAGAGTCACACAAAGCTAGCTGGTAGAGGTGACTATGTGATTGGGCTCTTCGGCGTGTCTTATGGCTCCTAGACTGCAAACTGGCACAGCATACTCTAGTGTGGGATGCTGCAGGCAGTTATGGATAGTGGTGAGCACTGGTGCATCCCAAATACAGTGAACAAATGATGTAAAGGATAAAAAGACCGGAAGCTGCTCTGGACAAGACGGTGAGCTAGTGTGCAGGCCTGGGACAGGACTGCAGTGTGCTGCATACTGTTCCAGAGCTGTGCACAGGACTGTTCAATTTATAAATTATGAATAAATCAAAGTTACTTCTTCAGGTATCATTTGACATTAGCTTACCATAATTTTATTTTTTTGAGATATTTTATTTCTCTTTTATGTGTATGGGCATTTTTTTGCTTACACGTATGTTTGTGTATCTATGCATATGATACTCTCGGAGGCCAGAAGAAGGTGTCAGATCCCCTGGAACTGGGATTAAGACAATTGTTTGCTACCCTGTGGATGCTGGCAATCAAACCTGGATCCTCTGGAAGAACAGCTCTTAACTGCTGATCCATCTCTCCAGTTGTGTTACTAAAACTTTAAACCTTGTAAACTTTCAACTTTGTCCTTTTGTGTAATAACCATTTATTAAACACAGCTGTACAGCTGTAAACTTTTTTGTTCACATCTTCATTATGTAAGCCTCTTCTGTGTTTATCTTGAAACCTTTAATTGAAAATTAAGTACACGACCTTGGTCTAGACCCTCCAGCATCATCATTACAATCACATCCATAATGGACTATGTATGGCATTATGACCACAGAGACATCACCAAGTGATATAAGAGTGTATACACCACTGTTCCACCATTGACTGAAACGTTCTTATGCAGTACATGAGTGCACAATGAGGAGGCAGAACCTTCGGTGGAAACAATCCATCCCTTCTGAAAACAATCCACTGAAAACTTACCATATGTTCCTGTTGTACAAAGCTCTGGGAATCCAAAGACTAATAAAAGATTGGGTAACTGCCCCCAAGGAGCTCAGTATAATGGAAATAACACATCCGCATGTAAGAGCCACAGTGAGAAAGAGCTAATGAGTGGTAGGTGTGGGAGCCCAATTACTCAAGGTCAGAGAATCTGAGCTTGCTTTAACCAGCAGGGCTGCATGAGGAGATGATTTGGCCACGGGTGTGGTTACCAGGTATTTAGAAGGGTCTACACTTGGCTGTATGGTGTGCTTTGATCTTGCAAGGGGGAGGTGTTTTGCCTCTCCCCTAGGCATGTTATAAAAAGCCCTTTTGAATAAACTTTGAGGCTTTTGGGTATTGACCCAGGCCCTCCCAAAGCTATCCTGTGTCTCTGTCTTTTCCTCATCATCTAGGTCTCTCTTTCTATCTGATGATTTCTTATCCCTCTCTCCTCCACCTGAGAGCCCTTCGATAGGTGAGAGGAGGTCGGAGCTGGACTCCACAGACTCCCACAGGTAGGAATGAGAGAGGCTTCATGGGTTGGGTAGCTTTTGAATGGATTCATTCAGGAAAGACCTATTTCCAGAGACATGGAGCCACAGGCATACAGGGACCCTGAGAGCACTTGGTGGTTTGGCCTGGAGTGAAGAGCATTCTACTGATGCATTGCCATCCCATGAACACTATACTAAAAGGTCATTTTTTAAATACTTACTAAATCAGGCCCCAGGAAGTCACCAAAGTTTCTCACCAGAATGTTTCCATGAGTTCACGTGTGTATTGGTGGGTCAGACTTCCCTGCTGTGATGGGGGCAGGTGGCAGTGCAATTGATCTGGCTAAAGGCAAGATTGTTGCCAATAGTCCAGGTGAGAGGTCAGGGAGCCCTGGCACGGACCGTAGCACTGGGAAGGGCGGTAGGAAATGGACTCTGGGGTTATGAACGTAGATTCCACGGCGATGGCTCCAATGTCTGGCATGAGCACCAGTGATGCTGCCCAGGATGCTACTGTGCGGCAGCAGGCAGACTTGCTCTGGGTTCTTGGTCTGCTTCACCTTGTACTCTTGGGAGATTACCCTTACCCGGCTGGATTTAGGGTCTGTCATCTACCACTGACTAGGGTTCATAAATAACTTAGCAGTGTTTGTAAGGGGAAAATACCTCAGAAACAGTATTACTTTTGATGTTTGAAAACCCTGCTTCCATTTTTTGGTGTAAGCTGATTCCCAGCCTTCTCCCTTTCTACCCTCTGCTTCGTGGGGCTCTCCACTTTTCACTTTTTTTCTAGAACTTTCCCTCCTGTAGACCACATGGAAACCAGCTAGAATTACATAGGAATTCAACCAAGGGTTGACTGATCTTCACTTTCCCCTCATCCTCCTTTTTCTGTCCCTTTGTCCTGCCTTCTTTCAAAGATCAGCAATCTATGCGGCTGATCTGTGTGTCAGGGTGGAACACAGGGGTGTGGTCTAGAGAGAAGCTGGAACATTTAGCCTACTCCTAAATTCTTCAAAGTCTGGGAGACTGGGAGTATTCTGTAATTACAACTTTCAGGCCTCCAAGGAGTTGTAAATAGTGGCCTGGAGGGCTTCTGGACTGTGTGTATGGTGGTCACAACCTCCTCCCCTCTGCCCTCCCTCTCACCACAC